ACTGGCAGCAAAGATCAAAAGCAGCCAAGATCCACTGTGGTCTTTCATGGCCCAAGAAATCTACCTGATGTGCACAGTTGTAAATGTGCATGCCAGAGCCAGGTGTGGTGTTGGTGCATGCCTGAAATCCAGCTACTGAGGAGGCTAAAGCAGGAGGATCATGAGTTACAGACCAGTCTGGATCATATAGTGAGTTTCAGACCAGCTTGAGCCTCTTAGTGAGATTCTGTCTCAGAAAATATTAAGTATGCATACCTTACTTAGGCCACAGTAGAAGGCCACCAAATTAACCTCTGGGTTTTATATCTGAAAGACAATGTGTCTCGTACAAATGATTGAAGCACATTGTACTTTTAGGGCAAAGGAACAAATTCCAGGCAATCCCTCCCTAACTCTAGATGTTGTATTCTTTAGGAAGGACAGGAGCAAAGCTGGAGCTCTTTTTTTTTGGCAAGTCCTTCTTATTTATCTCAGTATATTGCATTCCAAGCACATTCCGCACTTATCTCAAAAACTACAAGCAAGAAACAAGGGAAGATTTTATTAATCCAAGACCACCTGGAGAGCAGCTGCCTTGTGCTACTAAAAGCACCATGGGCATACAGGTGCGCTGAATGAGAATCAGGCATTCTATTAACCCAGCAAACTGATGGAGAGTCATGACTCCAATTTCACAATGCAAAACCTGTTCATTTTAATTAAATGACATGTTTGGTCGCAAGACAATACTGTCCAATTATTACTGAGTGAAACCCACTGTTTATGATTTTCCTGGGGATGAGCCTGTCTTGCGTTTTGAAAATTAAGCCAGTCTGTTTCATAGTACCAGTTGGGTTTATATCTATCTGAGGGGGGATTTCTAGCAAATACCACAGACCAGCAACATCTTGTTCTATTTTAATCAGTACCTAGATGCAGATATTTCCAACAAGAAGAAAGTGTGCTGAAGATACTAGGGGATATAATCAGAATCCAGATGAATTTTCAGAGGCTTGGGCCTCCTTCAAAAGAAAGAAATTAAGCAAGGTCACAAGCAATCTACATCAATCCAGGATGACTGGCTTTCAAAACTCTTCATCAGTTTCCTGAGTTAACAGAATGCCTGATCATTCTGTGCACCCATATTACCATGGTGCCTCTTGTGGCACAAGGCAGCCCAAGGCTGACAACCTTCTATTTCTATTGTAGGGCCAGCAGGATGGCTCAGTGTGTAAAGGCACTTACTGCCGAGTCCAATGACCTAAGTTTGATCTCTAGACCTCAGATGGTAAAAGGAAAGAACTTCTTCCTGCAAATTGTCCTTTGACTTTTACACAGGTGCCACGCACATGTGCACATACATGGAGATAGAAAGACGAATAAGTAAATAAATGTAAAAATTATATATATGTGAAAAATAGAACAGTTTTGTTTGCTATGTCAGAGATTTGGCATGGCTTCTATCTTAATCATGATCTGAGAGCACAGGAAAAGATATGGTGTCAAGATGAGGATTGCTGGCCCATCTTAACATTTATCAGATCATGCACAGAGGCCATATTCCAATAAACTGGGATATATACAGAGATAAACAATGGAGTGGTAAGGGACATTGAAGTAGTTTAAAGAACAGAGGAAAAAGACACAGCATAACAAGACATTTTGGGGCCATAAATGCTGCCTTCAGATGCCTAACTCAAATGTCCCATCAATTCTATTTCACGTTCCCAAAGTTATCCTCCAGAAACCTAGGAAGCACCTTTAACTTACGCTCACTCTCCCTCCCCATTTATTTTTGTCAGCAACTTTGTGACAGATGTATAAGAATTCCTTGTTACAGCACCTAAATCCTGTTCCAACCAGGGCCTGACCACCCCTCCCTCTCCAGTTCCTGCTACTCTCCTCATCTGCACACTGTTTTCCCATCAATTGGGCAGCTTTTTTGCCTCTGTGCCCTTTTTTATGCCCTTCTGTCTCTTCTTCTTTCTTTGTCTCATTCTTCTTCTACATGAGCTAAAGTTGTTATCGACATGCTGTTCTTACGTTCTGTTCTTGCTCCTGTTTTCTAGCCTGTCTGTTGACCACCGGTCTCTCAGCTTCCTGTATCATGGCTCTATCTGCATCTCCAGTGTCCACTGACAGACTAATCTGTCTGTCCAGTGAATGCCATGGTTCCACCTGTTTCTGCCTTAATAATTCTAGATTCCAGGGTTCTGAACTCGGGTCCTCACATTTGCAAAGCAAGCACTTTTACCAACTGAGCCCTCGTCCTGGACCACAATATATTATGTTTACTTGTTTTCCTACCTCCAGCACACAAGGTCACTTCAGAGGCCAATGAAAACTGCAAACCAGTCTATCAAACATCTTCCTTTGCACCATTGGGTCATATTTTCAGCAGCATCAGATTGAGTCCATCTAGGTCCTTGAGACTATTTTCCCTGGAAGTGTGTTCTATTAACATAATCTCTAGTTTTAGCTGTATCAAAGGAGGAGGTGTGTGTGTGTGTGTGTGTGTGTAGCAATAATAATACTACAGTATGGAAATTGAGACTGCTTTCACTGTCCATGTTCTCATTTCATACAGGTGATATTTGTTTCAGAAGTTTATTACAAGTGACTATTCTTTTCATGTGTGAGTAGTGCTCATACAACAATGATTCAGACATTCATCTTGGTGGTTGGCTCTATCTGATCTAAGTCTGGGGGAGGGAAAGCCAAAAACTTGCACTGTGGTGCACTCTAAGACTTGCCAGAAGGTGTCACTGTAGATACTTTAGAGCAAATTAGGGAAAGAGGGCTGTTTTAGCTATGCATGAAGGTGACAATGCATGCCTGCAAAAACTAGCTAAAACATTAATTCAAATTTGTTACTGGATTAAATATTTTTTCCTAACAATTAGGCTAATTGCTACTAAAATCTTGCCTTGTGATTTGCATAAAGACTCCACAAATATGTTGTGAGTGAACAAAGAAATTAATGAAAAGCAAAACTAGGAGTAGGTAGAAAGATTCCATGGATACAATGGTTATCTGAATTCCTAAAGGATGCTGAGAAATGAAAACTCTACTCACTAGTAATGGGTCTTTTTAGAAATACATTTTAGTGTTATCAGCAAGGTTTTATTCTAGAAACAGTTCAGAGAGATGAATGAAGACACTCTTGAACCACTCTTCATTCCTACTCCAAGATTCTGTGCCCAATGATAGTTTTTTATCCATGAAAATGTATAAGGTTATTTTTTAAAAAGAAAACCTTCCTGTGATATTCATAAAGTATTTGTCATATGATCAAGAGTTTTTCTGTGGTGAGGCATGTCCTTAGCCTTGTACTTCCTCTCTTATGTGGAACAGTTCCTTAAATAAGCAGTTAAAGGACTTTAAGATTCTGTTTTGAACCATGCACAAAGAAAAACTGCCAAGCTGGAATTGTAGGCACAACAGTTCTGGAAACACAGGGCAGAGCCTGTGTTATAGAAAACAGTTTAAGTGGAGATATAAATGAACAACTATAATTCACTCTGACAACAGTTTTAGACTTAGTATGGAAGTGCTATGGTAACACAGGGCAAGATGGAATGCCATCACTAAGCAGTAGGCTTAGCTTTCCACTTGAACTGAACTTGAAGGAAGTATCATCTTCTAAGTGAGATGAAGCACCACACATACCACATGACAGAGACACAGAGGATAGAAGGTAGGAAACTCTGAGGTTCAAGAAGGTTCCTGAAGGCTGAGTCTGAGTCGGGAGGAGCCTTTCCTTGTTGAATATTCAATAGATCAGGAGGTTGAGAAAGTCTCTTCTGGTTCCTTCTCAGAGAACCTCCACAATTTCTTCAGATAGGAATGACGAAATCAGAAAAGTTGCAAGCCATTCCCTGAGAAATATGAATACTCAGTATTTATTCTTGTTTTCCTACCACAAATATACCCTTCCAATGATCTCATCTTTTGTCTACTGTATGTGAATGGCAATTCATGTCTCACAAAAAAAGCACAATTACAGGGGGAATTTGTCTGTTTGATTATGTGATTATGCCTAACCACATAGACCTTGATGTGTCTGCAGTGTGGGGCATACGTATATATGTACTATGTATGTGTTTGAGTGTGTCAGCCAGTAAGTTTGAATGTCTGCTCATCTGCTGTTCTGCAGAGAGCCTTATCTATTTGCAACTCAAAAGGAGAGATAGCCATCCAGCAAAGCTTCCGCAGTTCTTATATTTTATTGTCTGTTCACTGAATAAAGAAAAAGGATATTTTGGAACCAACAGAGTTAACTTTCCTATCCTGGGAATGGTACTGTGTAAGCAAAGAGCAAAAGAAAGGTAGATTTGGCAGCTATATGCCTATTTTAGTCTGACTAACCACTGTGTATATTCCTGGAAGCCCTCAGATGCTCAGCTTGTCTTTACATTCCATTTCTCTAACAGATGAGCCATGATATTTTGGCAATAACCAGAATGGAGAGTATCATGTCAAATAGTTTTGATGTGATTTTCTTTTTTTAAATAACATTTCCAGATTAGACAAGGTTATTGGGGAAAAAATGCTTGTACATCTCTCATAACAAACACTAGACTTTTAGTTCCTTTATCAACTCCATTTCACCTCCATTAGTTATTTGCTTCAACTGAGTATCCATTTTGTTATTGTTTAATAAAAGTTTAAGGGTTTAGAGTATGAAATAAAATGGTTGCTTACTGGACCAATAGCATCATTGGGAAGAAAACAAAGGAGGGCAAAACATGACAAGGCTCTTATCCAGAAGGTTTTATTTTTTTAATGCCTGCTGTGGATGTACTGTCAGGAAATTGGATTTTAAAAAGTTAGATATCTGGTCACACTAGCTGGGTATAAAGAGAGGACTGCAACATAGTTCATAGGACAAATACCATCATCAGATCCCCATCGTTCTTCTGTTGCTTTTCTTAGTGACCATGAGCACATCTGCAACATACTTTCCTGACTGCAGTTATGTCAGTCACACTTCTGACTGGGCCTTTATGCTTTGTCCATAGGAACTTCCATTACATCACCATCCTCAGAGACCCAGTGTCCCGGTACTTGAGCGAATGGAGGCACGTCCAAAGAGGAGCCACATGGAAAGCATCCCTGCACGTCTGTGATGGAAGACCCCCAACCTCTGAAGAATTGCCCAGCTGCTACACTGGTGATGACTGGTCTGGATGCCCTCTCAAAGAGTTCATGGACTGCCCCTATAATCTGGCCAACAACCGCCAAGTACGAATGCTGTCTGACCTGACTCTGGTGGGCTGCTACAACCTCTCTGTCATGCCGGAAAAGCAAAGAAACAAGGTCCTTCTGGAAAGTGCTAAATCCAATCTGAAGCATATGGCGTTCTTTGGCCTCACCGAGTTTCAGCGTAAGACCCAGTACCTGTTTGAGAAGACCTTCAACATGAACTTTATTTCGCCGTTTACCCAATATAATACCACTAGGGCCTCTAGTGTAGAGATCAATGAGGAGATCCAAAAGCGTATTGAGGGGCTGAATTTTCTGGATATGGAGTTGTACAGCTATGCGAAAGACCTCTTTCTGCAAAGGTATCAGTTCATGAGGCAGAAAGAGCATCAGGATGCCAGGCGGAAGCGTCAGGAGCAACGCAAGTTTCTGAAGGGAAGGTTTCTTCAGACCCATTTCCAGAGTCAGAGTCAGGGCCAGGGCCAGAGTCCAGGTCAGAATCTGAGTCAGAATCCAAATCCCAACCCAAATCAGAACCTGACTCAGAACCTGAGTCAGAATCTGACTCGGAGTTCAAAGCCTAATTTGAGCCAGAAGGAGAACCAGGGAAGTCAGAAGCAGAGCTTGGGCCAGGAGCAGAGGGATAGCAGCACCAGCAATGGCACCAATGACTACATAGGCAGTGTAGAGACATGGCGCTAACTGGCTCCGTAAAGCTTGTGCACACTGCTTCCCAAAGCACCACCAAAAAGATGGCGTGTATATTACGAGATGAAAATGTCCAAACACATCCTGCTTCCCCTTATTTTGGAAGTTCAAAACAAATATAGATGTTGCCTTTACAGTTGCCTTTTGATTCAGTGTTACACTGTGTGTGGGTAAAACAAATCTCAGTGTGTAATTAAATTGTCTTTTTTGGGGATGAACTATTTCTGAAATCCAAGAGCCAAACCAGACTCACCAGAAACTGCAGTTTAGATATTTTAAGAAGTTCTTAAATTAGGTATGGAGACACAAAGAAAACATGAAATGTGGCCATTTAAACTTTAAGAAACAGACTTTAAATGATTCCGGATACTCTGTTAAAACCCAATCTTGAAAGAAAAACCCCCACCCCCAGGGAAGCATAAGTAAAAACATGAGCAGACTAAGAGATGCTCAAAAACCTTTAATTTCATTCTTATTTTAACAAGGAGTCTAAACAGCAAAACAACTGGTGATAAATTTTGCCAAAGTGTAGAAAGTAAACCGTTTCTCACTTACATGTAGGTGGGTTTATGTAAAAATAATGGCTTTTCAAATAGATCAGGATTCATGTCTTGTAATTTAACAGATGTTTAAAATTTTAAAATTTTCTACCTTCTGCTGATTAAAAGGTTTTAAACAGGGTATATCTCATATTAACAAAGCATTTTCTTTCCAAATGGAATACCAATGGAAAGATCCAGTTTCCAGATGGTTTCGGGGCACTGTAATTTCAACAATTTCAATCTTTTTGGCGCTGCTTTTCATTCACTTTAAGGCTTCTCTGAGTTGTGCTCATTCCAAATGAATCCATGTATAGAATTTTTCTTCATTAGCTAAATTGTGTGTTGCTGAATCTCTTTTGTTATTTAATCCTGGATTAAAGTCAGGACTTTCTATAGACTTATCTTATCAATGTCCGTGTAGTGAGGTCCGTAACAAGAACTCTCAAACAGGATAACGTCTTTAAATATTGCTGAAGTTATTATTCTTGATCAGATTGAATTGAACCTGAATGTGAACTGTTAATTATTTTGTTTATTGTAATGTTTCCAGTGTGACTGACTATTTCTGGCCCATGGTTCCTTTTTTGTATTGACAGATTTGTACACAATAATAAGAGCAATTTTTTTCCCTCAAAGACCATGGTAGAGTAAGCATTAAGACATCCAGAGTTGCTCAGTAACGCCAAAAGCTGCCTCTTGATACTTGAGGTTAACATCTCTGCCAGGTTTTTGTTTATGAAAGATCGAAAGTGAAGAAAGTTCTGCTGTGAACCTAAGTGTCGGGGACATACAAGTTGAGGAGAATAGTTTGGTAGTCTAAGTCTGTAATAAATAGTATTTTGTTTACTACAAAGTAAACAGAGGAAGAAGTATGTACCCACTGTATTATTAAACATCATTCTGCTTGGCTGTGTCCACTTAGTGGTTGTTGCTACACTTCTTCTATAAAACTTGTATTAATCCCTTGGTGTCAATCAAACAAGGTGACTAGAAGTGGTATTTATGTTTTTAAAAGGGACATTCTTGGAAATGTGATTATAGAGTCAAATATTTCATCACTTGTCCTTGTTTCATCTGTAACAATATGGTCACAAGTTAGACACGGAGTTGAGTGTCTGGCTCGAAAGGGATTTTCTTGACTCTGAGTTCTGTAACAGTATTTACAGGTTTTGTTTTGTAGCATTGCAGTGTTGAGAATTATGGTATCTAAAAAAAACGCAACAAAAAACTGGAAGGAATTTTGAAAAGCACATCTTGAAGTCAGTGTTTTAGAACGAACCTATTTGGTGTATGTTGTGTTCTTGAAGTATTCTGTAGATCACTATGGCATTTCAGTCTCTTTATTTGTAATTGAAAATGTTTGCTCTTAAAACTGACAGTGTTGGAAAGCAGGACAGAGTCTGAACCAGTGCGAAAGCTAGTTACAGAAAAAAAAATGTGTTATTGCTGTGGTGTGCATGGTTTGCAGAGATTAAGTGCATTTTCTCTGTCTCTACTGATTACTGTATATAGAGAATGTTATAAATATACGTTTTTGTCATCATCATGTAAATCCCACGATTTCAAACTGTAAACATCTGTTCAGTGGTGTAGCTTTACAAACCATTCACTGATTTTGTGTAATTTAACAATAGATGTGAAATAAAGTTTCAATTGCAGCCTGTGAGTAATTTCATGATTTCAAGGTTTACAGCCACTAGACCCTGTGACATCATAAACAAACCAGAACTGGAATCTTTCCTAAGACAGTGTTTTTCTTTACACTTGACAGCTAAGTATGAAAATGAGATGGTCCATTCTAATTCCTCATTCTGAAACAGCCTTAATTTGGGTGATTCCTCTTTGGAGGCCACGATTTGAATAAAACAAAATTGTCTGTGAAATACAAGGTTTGCCGTGCAATGTACGGCAATGTACATTGCCCATGTTCTAATTTAAGGAAAAATAACACACTTGATTGCAAACCTCCTCCTTTTATCCACAAGAAAAAAAGTTAAAGGTAAGCATTAACATTTTGGCTTTGACCACAGTTTGCTCTAATTATATTCAACATGCACATGTTTATTCTAAATCCTTGGAATGAGGATTATGTGTAACACCAACTGTTGAGGAGACCGGATCTGGGACATAGATCAGTTATAGCATGCTTAACATGTACAAGTTCATGATTTCCAACCCTAGCACCACAGAAAAATGCTCACCAAAAAGTCTCCATTATATGAAGGTCCCTTGCTTTCTTGTGATGGGGGAATCTGGACTCCTAAAATGCAAACTACTTAGTACATTAATTACTTTTTATTGCTATGATTAAAAAAATATATAACCTAAAGTTTTCAGAAAAAAAAGTTTATTCTGACTTACAGTTCCAGAAGGATTAAAGTTCATTATTGCGGGGAGGCATGACAACACACAATACTCATGGCAGCTGGACCAGGACACTGAGGGCACATCTTCAATGGCAAGCATGAAGCAGAAGGAGAAAACTAAAAATGGTGCAAACTTTTAATCTCAAATATCTCTTTCAGTGACATATTTCCCCCAGCAAGGCTACACCACATAATGGCACTAACTAGGGGCCAATGCTTCAAATGCATGAAAAACTAGGGAGGGCATTTGTCTTTAAACTACAACATTTGATAAATAAGGGTTAGAACCATCTTTCCTGTGAGAGATATGGGTATCATTAAAGAACAGACTATAGTCACTGAAGTGAAAAACAGGCAGGTCTCCTGTACAAAGCTTCAAGGCACCAAGGAAATGATGTCGTGGTGGGCTATTTGAGTCTGGAGGAGAGCTGAAATCAAGAAATAACTAATTGACCTAGTTCCCAGAGGCTTGAGATCCTCCCTGTATATCAGTTACTTTCCCTATCACTGTGACCTTATAAATTCAATCTAAAGGAGGGAAGATAGTCTTTTCATTCACGGCTTAAGGCTACAGTCCGTTATGGTGGCAGAGCTGGAAAGTTACATGCTTAGATCTCAACAACCAGGAAATGAAGATGGGACACAAATCAGGAGCCAGGCTATAAACCTCAAGGTCCACCCTGACAGCTACTAACTTCCTCGCCTGGGCCACTCCTCTCAAATATCCCACAGTATCTGAAGACAACACCATGAACCAGAAACCAAGTGGCCTAGCACATTAGTCTGGGAGACATTTCACATTTAAACTCTCACACCTCCAGAGTTATAACAAAATGAGACTGGGAGTGGGGTTGAAGAGAAGAATGATGCATCCCTTATGCACCCTTTCATGAAGGATAAGCACAACACCATAGGATTGGGACAAGAGAATTACGGGATGCTCCTGGCTACCAATGTGCATGCAAAACACTACTTTCTGGCATTGTCCTAATGACATGGCTCCTTACACTAATATGTTGGGAAGAAGAAGTATAGTGCAGCAGTGAACCAGGACTTTGTTCCCTCTTGTCCTCACTGGGGATTGAACTAAACAAGGACTGAAAGCTTGCAGAAAATACTAACAAAAAAACAAAACAAAAAACCACAAGGATATGCAGATTCCTAGTGTCACAACCAGTAGCTTAGGTTTCTGATTGTTTACAGGGAAAGGAAATATCTTGATACTTCTGTCAAGAATTTGACTTGAGACACAAACATGGTAGCATGCATCCCTCAATCTTCACAGATGCCCAAATCCGAAGGAACTTAAGATGAAATTAAAGTGTCATTGGCATGTATCACAACCATTTCTTTGTTTTCTCTCACTGATTCTAATCTACAGCAGCAGGAGTGATTAAAACAAATCTCTGGAGCCCCAAAGAGTTATTTTCTTGCCCTTTAGATAAGAAGTTGATTGACCCTGAAGCTATAGCACAATTCCAAGCTCCCTATGTATTAAAAACTTAGCAGAGTTGTCCAGACTCTAAGAGAATAGAGGTGTGAGTCACATGATGTGCTTTCCAGCTGTACCACACCAGAAACTACGTTTATTGAGATACCAGCAGGAGTGGCTTTTTAGGCACAAGAGAAAGGAGAAGCTGGTCCTTACTCTGATAACTGAGGACACTGAAACCAGGCGCTGTGTCAGTGAGTATGAGCAAAAGCTCCAATCTTCAGTTATGTCAGATGCTTGCAAGATGTTCATCAGTTCTGGACAGGGGTAGGGGTTTGGTAGTTTGAACATGTGCTGGTAAGAATTAAACTATATGCAAGTATGTGAAGTAAACATAAACATGTTTTTTTACAGATAATTTTACATAATCAGTGAAAATACCTGTAAAAGCTCCATTCATCCAAAAGAAATGCAACTCTTAATAAAATATTTTATTATTTTATTTACACTTTTTTATTGATTACAGTTTATTCACTTTCTTTTTTTGATTTTCTATTTTTTATTATCAGTTACATTTTATTAACTATGTATCCCAGCTGTGTCCTGCTCCCTCATTCCCTTCCAAATCCTCCCTCCTTTCTTCATCTCCTCCTTGCCCCTTTCCAAGTTCACTGATTGGGGAGGACCTCCTCCCCTTTCATCTGATTCTATTTTATCAGGTATCTTCAGGACTGGCTGCAAAGTCCTCCTCTGTGGCCTAGCAGGACTGCTCCTCCCTTGGGTTTGGAAAGGTCAAAGAGCCTGCCACTGAGTTCCTGTCAGAAATAGTCCCTGTTCCCCTTACTATGAGAAAGAAATTGGTTACTGAGCTACCATGGGCTTCATCCAAGCAGAGGTTCTAGTTATATCCATACATGGTCCTTGGGGGAGTGTCAGTCTCAGAAAAGACCCCTGTGCCTAGATATATTTGGTCCTTGTGGAGCTCCTATCCTTCCCACGTCATACAAATTCCCCCTTCTTTCATATGTTTCCCTGCACTCTGCTGAAGGTTTAGTTATTAGTCTTAATATCTGCTTTGATACGCTGCTAGGTAGAGTCTTTCAGGGGCCCTTTGCGGTAGGCTCCTTTCCTGTTACTTGTTTTCTCCTACGTCCAATGCACATCTCATTTGTCTTTCTAAGTGAGGACTGATCATCTTACCCCAGGTCCTCTTTCTTGTTTATCTTCTTTAGATGTACAGATTTCATTATGTTTACCATATCTTATAGGACTATATGAGTGAGTATGTACCATGTGTGTCTTTCTCCTTCTGGGATACCTCACTCAGAATGATCTTTTCTAGATCCGACCATTTGCCTGCAAATTTCATGATTTCCTCATTTTTGATTGCTGAGTAGTATTCCATTGTGTAAAAATACCACAATTTCTGTATCCATTCCTCCATTGAGGGACATCTGGGTTGTTTCCAGGTTCTGGCTATTACAAATAAAGTTGCTACGAACATGGTTGAGCAAATGTCCTTGTTGTGTACTTGAGCATATTTTGGATATATGCCTAGGAGTGGTATAGGTTGATCTTGAGGAAGCACTATTCCTAATTGTCTGAGAAAGAGCCAGATTGACTTCCAAAGTGGTTATACAAGTTTACATTCCCACCAGCAGTGGAGGAGGGTTCCCCTTTCTCCACAACCTCTCCAGCATGTGTTGTCACTTGAGTTATTCATCTTGGCCATTCTGATGGGTGTAAGGTGAAATCTCCGGGTCGTTTTGATTTGCATCTCCCTGATGGCTAAGGATGTTGAGCATCTCTTTAAGTGCTTCTCTGTCAGGAAATGCAACTATTGACTCCAATCACACCGAAATACTTCCATCCTCTTTCCAATTTCTTCTACTCTCCTCATTTCTTCTTCTCCCTCTCTTGTCTTCTTCCACCCTCTTCTGTTTCTTCTTCTCCTCTTTTCTTCTCTAGCGTGCACAGCCCTAAACAATATTTATAAAAAATGTAAATTAGTTCGCTCCACTCTTACTCAATTCTCCTTTCATAGTTTTCCTTCCCAGCTGGAACTACAGTGGATGACTCCCCCTCACCCTGCATACTTACTGCTGCAGATTTTATACGTTGAAAACAGAGGTTTCAGCCACATACTGTCTGGATTTGCTTCCAAACTCTCCCCAAATGCCAACTGTAATATTTGACAAAATCATTAATATCTCTGTTTCCATTTCCTTCTCTACCAATGGAGAAAGCAATAGCTAACACTTCCGGAATTCCTGTGTGAACTGCAGTAACTGCCTACAAGACACTTATGAGAGTGACAAAGATTCAAGGAACCTTGCTTTTACTCCTTCTGTCATGAAGGCTAAGTGTGGGCCAAATGCCCCTGTCTTCTGAGAGCACGATATAAGTGCGGGGCAGCCTGGCACTATTGCTGTTACCTACAATTACACATGTGTTTGAATTGGCCTCAGCTCTGGGGTAAATGAATAAATAAAATTAGAATAAAAAGTGAAAATGTTGACAAGAAATTAAGCAAAATTACACACTATGTCCTATTGTGACTAATTTAAGAACCAGTCTCTTTCTGAACATCGTGTTTTATGCCTATTACTTCAGAGGCAGAGACATGAGGATTACTGAAAGTTCAACTGAAAGGCTAACTCGTGTAATATGGTGAGTTAAAAACCATCCTAAGCTAGAGAGTGAGACATGTTCTTAAAAAGAATAAAAATTACACTCATCTTATATAATCATATGCCCCAAAACATTTCTTAAGAATGACATCTAAGCTTTGAATGTAGCCAGTGATACAAAACATTCTGAGAGATCTTACCCAGTAAATGTCAAGTGAAGCGCC